GGGAAGGTGTGTTGAAGTTAGTGAGACTGGCTCAGGACAGGGAAGGGTTCAGAGCTGTTGAACATAGAGTTGCCAAGAGTTGCAGGTGATTTGATGACACATAACAACAACAAGAACAATCAACTTGTACATTTGATGACTGTCATTTCACATGAATACACTTAGAACCTACAGGTTTTATATTGTACTATTGTAGGGATAAAAGAGTAAATGTGCCTTTTAGCAGGTGACACAGCTTTTGGATATTATTTTACCTTTTGAGAATAAACTGTTTTTCCATAACTGAAAACCAAGGGATAAAATATATATCAATGGGATTAAAAGTCTTAGTAAAAATGTTAAAAAAAATTTTAAGTATTAAAATATTATTCTTTTAATTACTCAGTTCAGTTATCTTATGAGTTCTGAAATTAGAAAAGCATAAGTTTTAACATAGTTAAAACTGTGTAGATGGTACAAAACAGGGTAAGGTTATTCATAGAATTACCAAATAAGTCACTGCTTGCTGAAACTGGGGAGGACCTGAAGCGCTTGCTGCAGAAAGTCAAGGACTGCAGTCTTCAATACGGATTGAAGCTCAATATCAAGAAAACAAAGCTTCTCACCACTGGGCCAATTGGCAGCATCAGTATGGATGGTGAAGAGATTCAGATAGTTAACAGTTTTAGTTTACTTGGCTCACAGTCAACACTCTTGGTAACAGCAGCCAGGAAATTGGGAGACGAATTGCATTGGGAAAGTCAGCTGTGAGAGACCTCTCAAGAGTACTGAAGAGCAACGAAGTCAGGCTGGTGACTAAGGTGCTCCTGATCCAGGCTATAGTCTTTGCAATTATGTACTATGAGTGGGAGAGTGGGATAATGAATAGGGATGATAGAAGGAGAATTGATGCCTTTGAGCTGTGGTGCTGGGAAAAAGTGTTGAATATACCATGGACTGCTAGGAGAACAAACAGGTTTGTCATGGAGAGGGTGAAGCCAGAATGCTCCTTGGAGGCAAGTATTCTAAAGCTTCGTCTGACATACTTTGGGCATGTTGCAAGGAGGGACTGGTCCTTGGAGAGGGGCGGCGCAGGAGAGGAAGACCCTCGCTGAGATGGATTGATTCTGTGAGTGGAGTGATGAGAATGAATGTGTCAGAGACAGCGAGGCTGACACAGGATAGAACAGCGTTTAGGGCTCTTGTACGTAGGGTCGCTATGAGTTGCAAGTGACTCGATGGCACATAACAACAACAACAACCCGAAGGAACTTAACAAACTATTGATAATCGATATTCATGTTAAATTTAAAGACTAGGTTTGAGGTATTGTGTGGTTGTGGAATAAAAACAAATGTGAGTTTTGCTCCTTTGTTTGAAGGGAAACCCTTTAAAATGAGACTATAGATTTTTACAGTTGTTATTAGGTGCCATCAAGTCGAGTACATCTCAGTGATCTTTTAACAACAAATCTGAACCCTGTCCTATCCTGTGCCATCCTCATCATCTATGAAACCATTGAGCACACTGAATCAGTCACTTTGATATACTATCTCAGTGAAGTTCGTCTTTTCTCTCTAACCCTCCACCTTTCCAAGCATGATATTCCTTTGTAAAGAATGGTCCCTCCTAACAGCGTGCCGAAAGTGTGAGAGATGAAGCTTCATTAGCCTTGCCTCCAAGGAACACTCTGGTTGCAAAGTCTGTAGGATATTCAATACTCTTCTTCAACACCAAACTCAAAGGCATCAATTCTTTGTCTATCATTCTCATTCACTCTCCAGCTCTCATATGCATAGCAAATGATTGAAAAGATCATGACCTGAATCAGGTGCACCTTAGTCTTTAAACTGACATCATATTTCCTTAGTAGTTTGGAGAGGTCCTTGACAGCAGACTCTTGACTGTTCACTCGGAATGTAGCCACTATCAGATATGATTCCCTACTAGATTGTAAGCCACAAGAAAATATGGACTTCGTCTCTCTCTCTCTCTCCCTCTCTCTCTACCTCTTTCTCTCTCTCTCTCTATCTCTAAACCGAAAAAACACCAAACACAAATCAGTCATTCTTCATATGAATAGTCAAGAAATCAAAAGATATATTGCACTGTGAAAGGCTGCTGTCAAGGACTTCTCTGAAGTACTAAGGAAAACTGATGTCAGTTTAAAGACTAAGGTGCACCTGATTCAGGTCATGATCTTTCCAATCATTTGCTATGCATATGAGAGCTGGAGAGTGAATGAGAATGATAGACAAAGAATTGATGCCTTTGAATTGTGGTGTTGAAGAAGAGTCAACAGTGTCACAGTGATGGCAAGGGCAACAGGAAATGGAAACAATATGAGAAAGATCAGAAAGACAGGAGGAGATAAATAAAGACAGGAGAAGATAAAGGGTGAAGAGTACAGATAGCCACACCATGGTTAACAGAGAAGGAACAGAGGAAGAGAGTCAACAGGACAAAGCTCCTAAAATGATAGTTTAAGGATTGGGAGAGAGGGAGGTCAGGAAAAGAGAGAGGGTAAAAGATGGGAATAAGAAATCAACCACCGTGTTTGAAAACACCTTTCCATCATAGGAACTACAGAATTATTCATTTACTTTATTTAAGCAAATGTCAAATTAAGTTTCTTTTATAAAAACATAAATAATTCTGAAATCAACAAAATAAACTTTAAAAAAGAGAATGGTATTATGTAATGGTTATGAGTATGAGTCTGAATTATTATCACTGTCACCTGGAAACTTTGAGACCTGCAGTGAGTTACTTAAACTCTCTGGACCTCTGGAAAAGAGAAAGGTCACCCTGAGTCAAAATCCTTAGTAACAGCAGCAACAATAAAGCACTTAATTGCCATCAGGTATAATTATAAGTACTTTATATGTCTTGATTCGATCCTCACTACCACTTCATGAGGCAAGAAAACTGAGGCACCTAAATAAATTTGTCCAAGATCTCAGATCTCATATGTACAATGGCTCAGATTTAACTTAAATAGCCTGGTATTAGAATTACTTCTTTAAATCATTACACATACACAGAATCTAAAAAAAAAAAAGTATGAGAACAGAATACAGTATCAACAACATATGCAGTCTGGAAATATAACTACTCTCAAGATTTCTAATTATGATTGCAATATCAATTATTACTAGAAAAATTCTCTTTTATGAAGTGTTTTGAATGGAGAATGTGGGTTGTACTAGATCAAAATCAAGAAAGCGAACCAAATGTCTATTATGATCAATGTGCTGTCAAGTCATCTGTGCTCAGTAATCCTATGCAAAATAGCTGTGAACCATGTCCTATCCTGAGCACATCTCACTGTCTTTAAAACACCCACTTTCATTACCCCAGTTATTGTGTCAAACCATCTCATCCAGTGTTTTCTTCTCTTCCACTGTCCCTCCATCCTTCCAAGTATGATGTCCTCCTCCAAGGACTGGTCCCTTCTGTAACATGTCCAAAGTATATGAGACAGAGCTTCAAAATCCTTTTCTCCATGGTTTCACCCTCTCCAGAACAGACTTGTTTGTTCTCTCAGTAGTCCATGGTATATTCAATACTCTTCTTCAGCACCACAGCTCAAAGACATTGATTCTTCTTCTGTCATCCTTAGTCATTGTCCAGATATCTGATGCATAGCAAGTAATTGTGAAATTTATGGGATGGATCAGACACACCTTAATCTGTAGAATGACATGGTCACTCTTCAGCACTGTGGAGAGGTTCCTGATAGCAGATTTCCCCAGTGCAATTCATCTTTTTGATTTCTTGACTGCTGTTGGCAAGAGTGTTGACTATGGACCCTAAAAGCCTGAAATTGTTAACAATTTTAATATCTTCTCCATCTATCATGGTGCTGCCAATTGGCCCAGTAGTAAGAATATTTGTCTTTTTGATGTTGAGCTTCAATCCATACTGAAGACTGTGGTCCTTGACTTACTGTGACAAACATGCTAGCTCCTCTTCAGTTTTGACAAACAAGGTTGTATGAACTGCATAACAAGGGTTGTTGATAAGTCTTTCTCCAATCCTGATGCCACATTTTTCCTCCTAAAGTCCAGCCTCTCAAATGATCTATTTTCACAAAACAATTGTTTCTTGAGTGAGACATTTTTACTTTAGATTTGTTTCCTCTTCCCCTCTGGATTGCATCTCAGTATCAAGAAAGCAAAAGTCTTTACCCCTGGGCCAGTAAGCAACATCATGAAAAATGGAGAAAGAAATGAAAGCAGGATGAGTGAAAACAGGAAACCAAGGGAGGAAAGAGGGAGACTTTTATGACACTGAGAAGAATGCGGCTAATGTCACAAACCAAAAGGGGTATAAATTGCTGCACTGGAAAAAGATTTATTTTATAAACTTTCATATAATACTCAATGTTGTTATGTGCCTTCGAGTGGCCTGTGACTCATAGCGACCCTATGTACAACAGCCATAAACCCATAAACACAGGATACTGTGTCAATCTTATTGTCTCTGACAAATCTGCTCCATTACCCGAGACACTGAATCAATCCATCTCATCAAGGATCTTCCTTTCTAGCACTGTCCCTCCACAATCCACAATAAAATATTAAAAAATAGTTTACCAATAACAAGAAAAAAGTATAAGCATATAAAAGTCAACTGTCACAATTAAATTCTCTAGAACTTAGATGCTTTAATTCTTCTTTAAAATATTAAATCACTTAGAATCTGCTCTGGCTATGAAAATATTAATCAGAGTAGCTCGTGGTGTCTGGGTCCAAGGTGTTACTCAAGTTCAAGAACAGAAGCAAGAAGGAGTTGCTTCTTTGCCTCTAATCACTGTATGACCACTACCCAAATCTTGCTACGCAGCTAAGCTGTCCTGCGGCACTGGGAGAACACCATGTAGAAAGGTCAGGAAAGACCACAAATAGAATTTTTAAACTGCAGATTTCTTTCTAGAAATGAGGAACACACACACACACACACACACACACACACACACATGCACACGCACACACGCACACTCTCACTCACTCACTTACCTTTTCATTGTAAATGTCTCCAAGCATTGTACTTGCTCGCACAACATCTAGATTTTGAAGATTGTTTCTTGCAATATTCAGAACTTTTTGCAAGAATTTAATTGCTTCTGTCATATTTCCTTGGCTAAAATAAAGAAAATAGAAAGTTGTTTGTGTACAATCTCAATTAAGGTCACAGTGAAAAGAAAATGTCTTAGAAAATGTAAAATGATTTTTAGAACAATGAGATTTAAAATGTGAATATTAAATTAATAAATTTGTGACTTTTCTTTGTGATAGCATACTTCTATCATCCTTATACACTGTTGAAGGGAATGGCTTCTTGAGTGAGACATTTTTACCTTAGATTTATTTCCTCTTTCCCTCTTAATTACATCTCAATATCAAGAAAGCATAAGTCCTTACCACTAAGCCATCATGACAGATGAAGAAAGGATTGAAAGAGGGAGAAATGGAAACAGGAAGTTGCTATAGAAAATAATAGATTTTTCAAAAACCACTGTAGAGTTAGCATATGCACACGCTACCACTGAGTCAGTTCTAACTCATGCTGTCCCTCCACTGGGTTTCTAAGGATGCAGATCTTTGACAGGACATTGTCCATATTTATTCTATGGAGCAATTAGTGAATTTGGACTTCTTTTTGTTTAGCTGCTTGATATGTTTCACACTACACCACTAGGACTCCTAGAGGTATTCAATGATTCAGAAATTCCTCTCCTTGGTAAATATGCAAGAGAATTAAAAGCACGTTTCTACATGAACATGCTCACATGTGTGTGTTTGTGTGTGTTTACACATATACATATACATATACATATACATCTCACTTCTGTCAGTGAAATAAAAGACTATTCCTCTCACAGTTCTGTACTTGCAATTTTCCAAGATGATGTGTTCATTAAGTATTATTTTTGGAAACACTATTGTTGTTGTTGTTAGGTGTCATCAAAAAAGCACAACTCATAGTAACTCTATGAACAAAAGATCTGAACCCTGTTCTGTCCTGGGCCATCCTCACACTTCCTGACGCACAAGAGCCCATTGCCGCAGTCACCTTGTCAATCCACCTGGTTGTGGGTCTTTCTTTCCTTTGCTGACCCTCCACCCTTCCCAGCATCATGTTCCTCTCCAAGGAATAGCACCTCCTAGCAACATATCCAAAGTATGTGAGGCGAGGCCTCATCATTCTTGCTTGGAAATAGTAGATATTGTAATGTGAAATTATATTATGTGAAGCAAATTGCTTCGTAAGGTTTTGGTGTCTATTTTTCATCAAGAAGAGTCAATAAACATTTGTGTTGTTTACTATGTGCATCTCAGGTATGATCATTTTTTTAGCGTGTTTGATTTTGTTTATTATTGGTAACGAATGTCCTCTAATTCAGAAAAAATAGAAATACCCTGTTCATGTCTTTGAAATTGTGACTATTACAGGCATGGCTATAAGTCACAGGGATAAACTGTGACACATGGTACATTGACTATTGTCACTTAAATACTTGTCCTTTTTGCAGCTAACAGGGCATGAGATAAACGGAGCATATTAAATTATTAATAATGGAAATAATATAATAACTTCTCTTTCTGTTCAGACCTATGGATTTCTAAGACTAAAAAGAATTTTTATTAAACTGCTGTGAGTTTTGTAAGGTCAGTATTTTCTCAATTGTACTGTTAAAGGGACAAAATGGTGAAAAAAGAAATGAACACAGACTTTTTTTGTTATCATTTTAACCTTAGTTTATTTAGGCATATTTTGGATGGAAGTACATTTTGGATTCTGTTGAGTCTATAGAGGATTGATAAATATAGAAACTGAAAAAAACTTACAGAAAATTAACAAAAACCAAAACCAAGATCAGAAAACAAGAAACATAAAGCAGTATAAATAAAACTTTTGTTGGGTTACTTGTATTATTTCCTCCCTCCCTTAACAGGAGCAACAGATCCCCCAAATACCCCAAATTATCTGAAACTTGCCCCAGTCAAAAATTCTGCAGAATGTCTTCCCATTATAAACTATATGCCCTATATAGTCAATCTACCGTCTCATGGCCAGAAAAATTAGAAGTACAGCATCTGATATATAAACATAATATGATTTTTTAAAAGTCTTCAAATGTAAAAGTTAGCAATAGACTGTGAAGTTAGTCTTTCATTGGAAGGGTTAAAAAGAAAATATTTTCTTACAGAATGGCTCTAGATTATTTGTGTTTAGTTGAAGGGCAAGGTTAAAATGTTAGACAAATATTAATTCCAGTTTTCTATATGCAGTGCACAGGTGCAACTTGAACAGCATATTATATGGGATAATCATTAAATTCATTCAACCAGGCCTTAGAGAGTTAGAAACATATATTCTGAGGAACAGGACCCCTCGGTCCAAAGAATGAGAATGAAACAGTGCAGAATATTTGTGTATCAAGGTGATTCCAGTTTCCAACTGGGAAAACAGGACTGTTAACACCCACATCCCTTGACAACTGTCCAATTATGTATATCACACTTGGCCTACTGTTTGCAGTAGAAGTAATCAATAAAGGATGTGGTTGAGTGAACATAGATTTTGGTTGAACCAATGCATGAAAACTTAATCATTTACTCAGAGAGAAGAAATCAAATAGAGCAGAGATGAAACAGCTACCAAGGGGTTTGTTGATTGTGCCACCAAGTTTGTGGGCCACAGATGAAAGTAATAAGGCAAATGGAATCAGTGAAAAGGAGAAAATGTAAAAAGCTATTCTTAATTTCATGAATTAATAGAAATGTTTTGATGGCCATTTTTTTGGTCATTTTTAGGAAGTTTCACATCAAAGGTTGGATGCTACATTCTAAAGAATATATGAAAATTACTAGGGCATGCCGTTTCTCTCAAGCAAGAAGAAATTAATTTTCAGCTATAACAGAAAGGTAATTTTCACAGTTGAAACTTTGCACTGATTGATTTAAAGATCTCCACTGTGGAAAGCTTTCTAGGAAATAATATAACCTTAGTTTGAAAGAAAATTTACAATTGGTATGGGACAAATCTTGAGAAGGGTTTGTTGTAACCAGTGTATCTTGAACATCTCTCATTTCTGTGATTATCTTCCTTGCACTAGGCTATATTTAAAAGTAATCATGATTATGTTGGAGAATTATGACAGTTATTAGAGTAAATGAAGGCAAAAAATATAATAATGCCATAAAGAAAATTAAAGACCTCCTCTACTCAAATAGAATGACTGTATTCTAATATTTACTCAGTAATTTTTTCAACTTCCTTTATTTTTTGTCCTATGGACCATTATTTTACTTGACACAGTTCTGGACTTTTAAAAGGCATTTGCAGTGATAATTTTAGAATGACAACTAGTGTCCCAAAGGAGCAGATATGTTGTAATTTTTTATTTTTGTTATGCTGCTTAACATTTTTTTGTAATTGCTATTATTCATACAGATGTAAAATAAAATAAAAAAAGAGTAATACCCTATTCACCAGTAAAGCCTTCATCAGGAACACTTCTAACACTAGAGTCAGGTCTAGTATTGCCAAACAGGCAACGTTCAACTACTGAGTCTTGAAGAATGGGACATGTTTTCAAGGCTCAAGTATAAATTCTTATAACCATTTTAGAAGCTTCCAGCCTTAGAGCTCGTTCACCTTTCATGTATGCTCAGCTGATGGTCTTAGACACACACTTATCCTAGGCATGGCTATCCTCTTCCATTTCCTCTAAAGAGATAAAATATGTTTATAGAGATAGAGCAACCATTACTGAAACTTGTGCAATTGCACAGGCTAGAAAAAAGAGATTTAGAGATGATGCTAGCTTCATATGCTGCATGATTTATTTTTCAGCTGCTATGACTATAATTTCCTTTATTTTTGGCAGGGTTCCATTTCTTGCATGCCCCTGCTAACCTAAGAAAGGCAGATTTAAGAATATGAAAAGATAAAATGGGCACAGGATATGAATTGACACTTCACCAAAAAAGGCTTTCAGATGGTGAACAAACACATGAAGAAATGTTCAAAATCCCTAGCTCTAAGAGAGATGCAAATAGAAATAACTATGAGATATCATCTCATAAGAATAGCAAAATTTAACAGAGCAGCAAACAACATATGCTGGAGAGGTTGCGGAGAAACTGGAACACTTATTCCCTGTTGGTGGGAGTGTAAAATGGTACAACCACTATAGAAGGCAATATGGTGCTTTCTCAAAAAGTTGGAAATAGAGATACCATTTGACCTAGCAATTCCACTATTGGGAATATACCCTAAAGAAACCATAACTGCCACCCATGCAGATATATGCACACCCATGTTTATTGTGGCTTTGTTTGCAATAGCAAAGGGCTGGAAACAACCCAAGTGCCCATCAACAAATGAATGGCTAGAGAAGCTGTGGTATATTCACACAATGGAATACTATGCTGCATTGAAAAACAGGGAACTCATGCAATTTTATTCTAAATGGGTGACCCTGGAGGACATTATGCTGAGCGAAAGATCTCAGTCACAAAAGGACAAATACTGCATAGTGCCACTGTTGTAATGTGGGTCTGACATCAGAGTTGGGGGACAACTAAGAGGGGATAAATAATGTATACTGAATTGAAATAGATAAAGAAAAGAACTATTTGGGAGGAATATATGATTAGGTATTATTGTCATGACGAGAGTCCAGAATGAAGGCTGCATAGAGTGGCCTGGGGGTGGGGAGGGATTGTATAACAATTAAAGAATTATGTATGTATGTATGTATGTGTGTGTGTATTTACTTTTCAAAGAGAAAAGCAAACTGGGTGAGCTGGGCAGGGAGGAAATTGTGCAACAATGAATGAATGGAAATCCGAAGTCTCTGTAAACTTTCATTAAACTAATTAAAAAACCCCAAAGCCCCCCCCCAAAAGGAATATTGAAAAATATATCTATGTCTCTATCTTTGTACCTATCTGTGGTTAAAGGCCATTGAGTCAACTCACAACAATCTTACATAAAACAGAATGAAACACTGCCCAGTCCTGTAACCGTCTTCATAATCATGGCTTTTTTTTTTTTTTTTTTTGCTGCAGCTAATGTGTCAGTCTGTTTTGTTGAAAGTCTTCCATTTTTTTGCCGATCCCCTCTCATGTTGTTGTTCTTCAAAGATTGCTTCCTTCTGAAAATTTGCCCAAAGTTTGTGAAACTTTGCCCAAATTTTCATTCTCCCTTCTAAGAAACATTCTGCCTATACTTCTTCAGAACGGATTTGTTTATTCTTTTGGAAGTTTCTGGTCTATTTAATATTCTTCACCAACACCATATGTCAGAGGCATCAAATTTTCTTTGGTCTTTGTTATTCACTATCTAACTAAATATGGTAAATATTAAAACCCAAGTGTTTGGCAAATACACAATAACATGTATCTATCAATACAATACCATGAAGAATAGTTTCACTATCCTAAAAATGTTCTATTCATCCCTTTCCTTTCCCCAACACTCCCTTCCCCACCAGGGAAGTCTCTTTATTGTCTTTAGAATTTTGTCTAGGAGCCCTGGTGGCACAATGTTTAAGCACTCAGTTCCTAACTGGAAAGTTGACAATCCTTACCTATTAGTTACTCCATAGAAGTGGGGGGTGGGGGGGATGGCAGTCTACTCCTGTGAAGAATACAGCTTTGGAAGTAACTATGGAACAGCTTTGCTCTAGTCGATAAAGTTGCCATGAATTGAAATGACTTGACAGCAATGACTTTACTGTCAACAACTTTTCCATTTTATTCTATCTTGGCTCAATCATAACACTGCTATGTACATCATGCAACCCTTAAATGGAGTGCACAGAAAACACAATACAACGTGTGAAAGGCAAGTCATATATTTATTTACTCTGGAAATATGTACCAGAAGTTTTCCAGATATACTTACTTTACATTTTTTCTTTTAAATAAATTGATAGGAATACTGTTTTTTGCACCCAATGTCTATGCAGACATGCTCAAAGGGCAGATGTTTTAATGCAAAAAGCATGATTGAACTATAAATGGAACTTTTTTCAAAAAAGAGACCTAGAAAGGTTATGGCAAGCCACAGTTACTGAAGCGTACTATGTATTTCTATGCTTTCTGCGTTTATTTATTTATTTATTTTCAACCTGTGAGAGGTGACCTTATTTTTTCCCCTTTTATCCAAGGTCATCACTAAACTTGCTGAAAGTCTCCCCAAAAAATAATATAAAGTAAGGGTCTACAATAGAGGGGTTCATATGTATATTTTAAAACACCACATTGGTTTAAAATAACTGAAGATGAAAGGGTCACTTAAGAAGGGCACTGCTTAAAATTTAAGCAGGCAGTAATGGGAAGCGACAGACCTCAAACAATTTAAGTCTTTCACAGTTGAGCGGGCTCACAGTGACAGCAAGACAAGGATGTGCTAGCTTACCTCTGCAGGACCTTGGCTATTGCTTCATATGCTGTCCCCAAGCTGAGATCATCATCCAGGTCTGTGGAGATTTTGGCATAAGTGCTAAGGACCTATCAGAAAGAGAAATACGCATGAGACATATAGCATGACCAGATACGCTGATGTTTCATTTCATAACAGAAGATTAAAATTAATGGTGGTTTTTAATGTCTCCATAAAAGTTCTTTTGTTTATTAAATATTCATGTTGGTTTGGTTTATTTTTATCTATAGTATAACTTTTTCACAGCAATCTCTGTGAGCCATGGCAGTGAGGTCTTACTTGGTAAAAATAATTCTTCTCTAGCATAATCCCAAATCTTCCCATTTATATAACTTAGGTGTGAATAAATAATTGAATGCTGTACAACATTGCTCTAAAATATGGGACTATTAGCGAAGGTAATAGAAGGCAGATTATAATATTCTACTATCGTAGCTTGAATATCACTTTTCTTTCTATAAATAGCTGTTTGGCAGGCATGAATGTAGGGACCAGGCAATTTCTAAATCTATCATTTTATTAGAAGCATATCTCACACTTTGTACACATACACAGCATACGCTAAAAATATTTCTTACAAATGTACTTCATTACCAACAATCTCTTCAATAATCAAAAGAGTGCAGCTGCCACAGCCAAACATATGATCTTAATTTAATTTAATACTGACATCATCTGTATGGTATAATTTTCCTTTTCACTTTTTTTTTTCTCTCTTCCAATGGCCAGAAGGAGAAAAATACATGAAAACACTGACAACCCCTCCTCCCCATTCTTTCTCTTTTATTCATCGTTACTTGGCCCGACCTATTACACACATGAGGACACAAGAAATCTCCAAAGACCTCCATGGAAATCATTTCTGCACATTTTCTAAGAAAGAATTAGTGAACGTCATTTGGTGGGGTTCAGGACGGAGAGTCACTGTGAGTGAGGACGTCAGTGTGCCCTGCATGTCACTGCCTGCAGCAGGCAGCTGATGACATATGTTACTCTTCACTTTCTTAAGTAAATATTTGGGAAATCATTTTAACGAAAGTGTTGGGATATCTAACAAAATTTTGGCTTCACGTGATTGATGAGAGACCGCTTGCCATGTTACTTGTGGTTGGGTTGACTCTGACTCATGGTATGTTGTGTTATTATGGAACAATGAGTAGAAATCGACCCATAGCTGACCCTCCAGTAGGTTTTCTGAGGCAGTAAACAGCAGGGAAGGAGGCTACCCATCCTTCTCCGACAAAGTGCAGCTGGTGGATTCGAATCATGTACCTTTGTGATTGCAGCACAGTCTCTTACCTTGAGACCATCAGATGCTGCCTATCACTGCACCATTATCACAGTCACTGATATATTTGAGTTCATTGTTGTATCCAGTCTGCATTTCAAATGCCCTCCAATCTTGGAGTCTCATTCCTCATCACTGTATTAGACAGTATCCTGTTGTGATCCATTGGACTTTCATTAGCTAATTTTCCCAGGACTTTTCTTTTTACTTTGTCTTTTAAAGTTCCTCCAGTAAGTGGCCATGTTATAATCCGAAATACTATTGACACTCATACAACAAAGCAACAAGCAAAAACAAGCCACCACAGTGTAGCAAGCTAAGAGGTGGTGTGCCTGAGCTAATACAAACATTAACACTTACTCGTTGACACATTTTGACCTAGAATTTTAATTCTTGGCTAATCTGTAAACTTGTATACTTTTATTCCTGCTTTTACATCTTTTCATAAACTTTGTATAAATTTGGGATGTTCTTTTCATGATGTCTTGAATAACTAACAATACTTTGTTTCAATTCTCCATAGTCTGGAAAGTCAAAGACCATTTGGAATTTAGGGACAGAATCTATGAGGCTTCATTTTTATTTTATGACATTATTGGATCCAAACGTCAAGCTATTTAGGTAGAGACTGTAACAGCCTTTGAAATGCATAGTTGTTCTACAACATTTCTTTTCTTCTCCTTTTATTTATTTTTTTATGCATGTAAATTTTTATTTTATAAGATTGTAACTATAATTTGATCATCCATACATATTTTGCTCTATAATATTGCAACTTCATTTATTTGATAACATTACTACTGATTGTTGTTGTGTACCATGGAGTCTAAATTGACCCATAGCTGACCCTCCAGAGGGTTTTCAGAGGCAGTTAATTGAATGGTAGGAGATTGCCTATCCTTCTCCCACAGAATAGCTGGTGGCCTTGAACGGTGTGCCTTTGGGATTGTAGCGCAGCTTCTTGCCACTAGACCATCAGAGCTCAAACAACATGCCTCTGGACACTCTATGAACTTGGATAAATGTCGGTAGTTGTAGAGGGGCTTCAGATCTTTTGTTCATAGGGTCACTATGAGTCGTTCTCGACTTGAAGGCAATCAACAACAACAACAACACAACTACTGTTTAATGTAATTAACTCATTAAAATGTGTAATCTTACATATTACCTTTCCCTTGGCCCAGTTTATCAATATATTCTCCTATGATATTATAAAACTTTAAAATAAAGATGGAATATATTTGTATATTACACAAAACTGTTTTCCCCCCAGAAAATATGATTACTAAGTACCAGGCACTATGTTAGACCCTACCCACTGAAATTCATTCCAATCACATAGGATCCAACTCATGTCAACTCTCTTTTGGGTTTCTGGGACTATAAATATTCACCACACAAAGGTGCATGTGTGTCAGTGTTTTATCATTTCTTCATACCCATTCAATCTATATGTTGAACAAATTATTTGAGAAATTGGACTCTGTGAAGAAGAATGTGGCATCAGATTGGAGGAAACCCCATCAATCACCTCCATTATGCAGATGACACATCTTGCTTGCTGAAAGTGAGGGGGATTTGAAGTGCTTACTGCAGAAGATCAAAGACTACAGCAGCTTTCAGTAGGGATTGCATCTCAACGTTAAGAAAACAAGAATTCTCTCCCCAGTGGACCAATAGACAACATCATGATAGATGTAGAAAAGACTGAAATTGTTAACAACTTCATCCAACTTGGATCTACAATTAATAGTACCAGTAGTCAGGATATCAGGAGATGTATTGCCCTCGGAAAGTCTGTAGTAGTCAGAGACCTCTCCAGATTATTGAGAAACAATGATGCCAGCTTGAAAACTAAGGTGTGCCTTTTTTTAGGACTTCTTGGTCTTTCAATCACTTGCTATGCAACTGAAAACTCCAAAGTGAATAAGGATGACAGAGGAAGAACTAATACTTTTGAGTCATGGTGCTGGAGTAATGCCAAAAGAACAAATAAATAAGTCTTGGTGCAGCCAGAGTGATCTTTGGAGGCAAAGATGATAAAGCTTTGTCTCACATGTTTTGGGCATGTTGCTATTCCTTAGAAATAAATATGCTTGGGAAGGGAGAGGGACAGCAAAAGAGAAGAAGGCTCTCAACTACATGAATTTATATAGTGACTGCAGCAATGGGTTCTAGTGTGTCAGAGATGATGAGATGGCATAGATTAGGATAGAGTTCAGATGTGTTGCTCATAGGGTTACTATGAATCATACTTGACTACACAGCACTTAACAATATAACAACAACAACTACAAATCTTCACCAAAGGACACTGGCTCATCCTTCTCCCTTAGAGTGGCTGGCTGATTTGAAATGATGACGTTTTCATTAGCAGCCCAACATGGGCACACACTGCCATCAAAGCTTAGGGAACTTAAACAGGAGAACTTTTACTGAAGCTCTCGAGGTAATCATATTCTAGGTATACTATCATAGAAAACCTAATTCATGTCTACTTGGAAGTTTAAAAACAAAAAACCACCAAGAACTAAAACAAAAAAACAAACAAACAGACAAAAATTTCTAGAAAGTTTTCAGAGACTATGAATTGCATGGAGGGAGACAGCCCATCTTTCTCCTACAGGGTGGCTGGTGGACTGAAATCACCAGAAAGGTGCAATCTTTGGTTAGCAGTGTATCTCTCTAAGGGCTACACCACTGGAACTCCCTCTAGGTGTAAGACAGGCATAGAACAAGAAGCTAAATTAGCAATGAGTGAGGATGTGTTTTGCTAGAATTTAAACAGTGCTCCTGCTACATCGTCTTCCTATGCCCTAGTCACAGTGGACCCTGAAGCAGCACAGCGACTTCTAGAAGTCCTTCGTTTGATGTGAGGAGAGTAAATGCCCAAGAAATCATAAGTTAATACTTCATTGTTGAGGGATTTTTTTTTTCTGTCTATCATGTCTCATATATTTAGGAAGCAGTAGGGGCAAGAAACGGCTCAATCTGGGAGTCTGATTATGGTTTTAGGCTCGATTTGCAGCAAATGTGTCATGGGCCAGTTGTGATCTCTTAGAATGACATTTAGAATAAGAAAATGAATTGTAATCCTAGCACTTTGACAGTCAACACATTTAGATAAACCAAATACCTAGGTTCCTAATATTCTTACAAACAAACTCAAACATCAAAGAATTGATGTAAGGCTAACACAGGAGAATAGAAAGTGTAAGTAAATGTTTAGGGTGCTCTGGTGGCCTAGTGGTAAGCAGCTGTGCTAGCAATCTAGAGGCAAGTGGTTTGAATCCATCAGCTACTCCACAGAAGTAAGATGGGCAATTTCCTCCTGTGTGATTTACCGCCACTGAAAACTTGCTGGAGGGTCAGCTCAAATTAGTTCTGACTTGATGATAAACAACAACGAGTAAATATTAGGACATAAACTCCCCATAAAGCTAGCAACCAATCACCCTCGGTGTGAGTTACCCTCTAAAAGAAAGAACACCACATTTATCTATAGCTGTAGAGAGAATTCATGCATCCTTGACACACGTTACATAACCGCACAAAGTACATCAACAGGGGGAAGCATATGGTTCATTATTGGCCCAATAGGGAAATAGTCAGCGATATGAAATAAATCCATATTGATGGCCTTGATAGGTGCTGTCTAAATCTAAGGAGTGCCTCTGGTATATATCAAAAAAAGATATGGTCTCCACTCCTCAAGAATACAAGCTGGAATACAAGCTCTAATTAGTGGGGAAACATACAGGTGAAATCCCAAGAAAAATG